CCGCCGCCGCCGCTGCCGCCACTGCCCTGCACGCTTGCCACCGGAGCGGCCCCCTCGTCGGCTCCGCGCACATCCCCTGCATCAGCCCCCTCCTCCCCCGGTCGCGCCCCAAGGCCCCACCGCCGCTGCCCCTGCGCCTCTCGCCGCCGGCGCTCCGCAGCCCCCTCGGCCCCCCCGCGGCCCCGCCCTGGGTCGGCCCACGCGAAGCGCCAGCCCAGGTGCTCGCCGCAGGTGGCGCACACACAGATCTGCCAGCTGTAGCCCTCGAACCAGGACCACTCCGTCGTGGGGCGGCCCTGCAGCCATACATTGCCGGCGGCGACCCGGCCAAAGGTGGCCATGTCGTGGACGTGCCTGGGCGGTTAGGTGGCGGGCGAGGTGCTTTGGCGGGTGGGGCAGCCTGCCGTTGCGACAGCATGGATCGAAGTCAAAGCTGTGTGCTTTGCATGCCGGAGGAATGGTGAGGGGCGGAAAGGGGGCAAGCAATGGGTCCGGCCTGGGTGCTAGCAGCCAACGGGATGACGAGGAGGGCTTGATTCCACGGGCACTGGTGATTGTATGGGCCAAAGGGGGTGAGCAAGGGGGCTGCACCGGCGTCAGCAAGGAAAGGCCCTGTCAAGGCGCGTCCTTGCAGCGTCAGGCGGCTAGCTGGGGCCGTCCCTTGACAATCGACCCACTCCCGCGCGCGACGCACCCGTGGGGGTTGACAAAGGCGCCGCCGCTGCCGTCGCCTGCCGAGTTGAACAGGTCGCGCATCGCCGCCACCAGGGTGCCGCACCTGGGCGTGAGGGGGCGATGCGGGGAGGCGGGGTGGGACACGCAAGGCTTTTGACCGACTTGTCCACCCGCTCGGTTGGTGCGATCTTCTCAAGCAAACAACAATCAGCAGAAAGTGCGAAACACAAGTGGCAGATGCCCCTGCAAAGCGGCATTCACCCGTCATGCATGCTATGACCTCCCTCCATATACACACATGCGCACGCATACACGCACGCACGCGCGCGCACACACACGCACACGCACGCACACACACACACACACGCACGCACACACACACACACACCCAACCGTTGCAGACGTGCCCCAAAAACCCCATAACGGTGTCCGACGCCGCGCACCCTGCGCACGCCACGCGGTCCGCGCGCGCCAGCAGCGCCACCAGCATCCTCAGGCGCGCCGCCGCGTCGCGCGCGTCCAGCAGGGCCTGCCGCAGCCCCGGCTCCAGCGGCAGGTTTGACGCCGCCCAGTAGGACAGCTCCAGGGCGCCCGCCGGCGGGCGAGACGCCAGGCCTTGTGGCAGCAGCAGGGCGAGGGCGCGGCGGACCGCGGCGGCCAGCCGCGGGAGGTCGAAGGCGCGCGCCTCGAGGGGGCCCCAGGCGGCCGCGTGGCGGGCGACCTCGGGCGGGGGGCGCTGGCGGCAGCCCTCCCCGAGGACGCGGATGCGCGCGGTGCGCGTGCCCTGAGGCGAGAGGCGTGAGAGAGAGATAGAGAGTGTGCCAGGCAGGGAGTGTGTGTCAGTGTGTCGCCATGTGTGTGTGTGTGCGCGCGCGTGTGTGTGTGTGTGTGTGTGTGCGCGCGCGCGCGTGCGTGTGTGCGCGCACGCGTGCGTTTGCGCGCATGCGCGATGCATTTGTGATTTAGGAAGATGGTGCCATTGTTGTAAGTCAACGCCCGCACACAGCGAGCGGTGGCGGCAGAGTGCATGCAATGCACTGAGGCAAACTGCCGCAGTCCTGCACACAATCACCAGACGCTGCGGCGCCTCACCATAGGCACGAACCCACGCCGCAGCCGGCCGTCCCGCCGCTCCGCAATCTGCGCCCGCTGCCGCCCCAGTGCCACCACCGCCACCGCGCCGTCCTCCTGCACGCGCCCAACAGACCGGATCTCGGCTGTGGTCCTGCGGGGCCGCGGCCGCGCATGTGTGGGGAAGCCGGCGCTTGTGTAAGGTTCAACACATGCACTCCAGCTTTGACATTTGATTGATGCTGGTCAAAACAGTCATTAATCGTGCGATGCGCTTGCACGCTACTCCCCCCTCCCACGCCGCAGCCCTCGCACCCGACTGTGCTGCAGTTGACCAGCGCGTAGCCGTGCGCGCCGCCCTCGGCCTCGATGGCCGCGGCGCCAGCGACGAATACGAGGCGCCGTGCTGGCGGCGGGGCCGCGAGCGCGCGCGCCAGCACGTGACGCTGCTCCTGCAGGTCGAGGCGCAGGGGCAGCATCTGGCCGGGGAACAGCACCACGCCTGCGTTGCGGGCGGGGCGCGCTTGCATGTCGAGACGAGGATCAAGTCCGCAGGTCGAGGCGCATGGATTCGTTGCACAAGTTGGCCGGTGAGCAGGGCACCGGGGTTGTAGTGTGTGTGGGGGGCAGGAGTGGGGAGCGGCGCCACTGCAAGGTGGTCTCATACGCACACTGCCTGCAGGCAAGGACCCCCTGTTGACGCCACAGGTGTCCCGCCCTTGTCCCGCTCACCCCACAGCACCAGCATGGGCAGCTCCAGCACCTGCCCCTCCTCCAGCCACCCGTAACCGCCCTGCAGCTCGTCGCACGCCCCCAGGTACTGGTGCTGAGCGCTGACAGAGCGGTCCAACAGGGGAAGGCCTGGCGTGGGGAGGGGGGCCGACGTGGTTTTGTCTGCACACACGGCTGCGTGGCCGCGGCGCGTTGCGGGGGGATGCACGCCAATGACGACGGCGAACGTTTGCGGCAGGCGCTGGTGTGCAAAAGGCATGGCCACCAGTGCTGTGCCTGTGCATACAGGTGTGCCGTAAACGCACCTGCCTCATCGCTGGGTTGCTCTGCCTCATCCTCGTCGCTTGTCAGGGCATCCACCGATCCGACTGGCACCAGCTCACGCTCCTCCCACTCCCCATCCGTCTCCTCCTCACCCTCCTCCTCCTCAACCTCGCCCTCCTCACCCTCCTCCTCTTCACCCTCATCCTCCTCACCCTCGTCCTCTTCGTCCCCCTCCTCTTCGCGCCCCGTCTGCTCCCCTTCCGCTTGATCCTCATCGCTGCGCTCCTCTTCAGCAGACTCGACCTCATCCGACCCCGCCACCTCCATCTCGCCAGCTTCATCAAGGCTCTCCCCCTCCTCATCGCTGATTCCCCCGTCAGCCCCCCCATCAACGCTCTGCAGCCGCTCGTCGCTGCCGCCCCCGCCGCTGTCGCTGGCGCTGGCGCTTCCCGTGTCGTCCCACTCTCCAGTGCGTGCGTACGCGGCCCTATCGTTGTGCGCCGCCACCTGCTGCCGCCGCCGCTGCTGCTGCCCGTCCTCCGCATCGTGCCAGATCGTGTGGTCCTCATTGCCGGGCACCAGCGCCAAGACATGGCGTGGCGCAGCCTGGAGTAGGCCGGGCGTGGCCAGCGGGTGCGCGAGCGGGGAGCCAAGGAGGGCCACCGCTGCGCCGCCTGCTTCGCCTCCTCTGTCGCTGCCGTCTGCGAGGGGCACTCGTGGCAGGTGGCCGCCGGCCTCATCAGCATCGGCGTTGGCGTCAGTGTTGCGCCTGCTGCCGCTTGCACCGAGTGTTGGGCCTGCCCTGCTGGCATCCATCGCGACGCGACGCTGCAGCTAGCCGCACCCGATGTGGCTAGTATGCCCGCTGCGGCCTCCTTGAATTGCTACTGTACACTTCTCATGTGCCAACTGTTCTCCATGGTCGCACTCCGAAGCGGAAGCTGCGGATGTTTGTTTTGTTGGCGCACCGATCTCGCCACCGTCAGCGTGTACGTGATGACAGAAAGAGGCACAGCTTCCAGTACGACAAGTGAGTCGGGGCTCCCTGCTATGATCGCGGCATTGCGGTGTGAGTTGTCACCAGGTGACTGATGAGTGACAACCTGCCAAGACAACAAGCAGGTCAATTAATCGTGAGGGTATCGTCCTGTAGGGTGAGCCGCAATGTAGCTGAATGAGTTATTCACAATATGCCACCTTGTGGATGGCCATCGGAAATTATGCTGCTTCGTCTTGGCAGGCACCTGCAGAATATGGTCCATGCCCAAGATTGCGGCGGCTGGTCACACATTTGTGCTTGTTGAATTTACAAGGGGCAACGCTGTTTCCTCTGAGACATCAGCAAGTTGGTGTTGTGATAGGCCAGTGCGGTGCCCAGCTTCACTACAGCAATCTGCAGGCAAAGCACCTACGCTCCTAAGAAATGGATGCGAGGCGCACAACCCCATGACAGGCCAATTTCAAAGCAGCACAAGCGTGCAGGATCGGATGAAATCCGCGAGGCGACGCCTCAAAAGCTGTGCATGAGGCGTTTGTGGGGGGTAGGTGTACGCAGCGCGGCGTTGCGAGTGCATGCAACTTTGCTGCTGTCCTTGGGGGCACGAGCCGCCAGAGAACGAAGGGCACAGAACACGCCAGTTCAAACCTAGGTGATCCCATGACTCGAAACCCCGCAGACTCCAACATGCCAGCATCTCTGTACACTTTTGCCGTCGCCAGGGCGTGCGTGTTGTAGAACTTCGGCAAAGACTGCATCAACAGTGCAAGCACCAAGCGGCGCCCACACAAGGCCTTCCGCGCGGTGGGCAAGCCACTCAATAGGGGACGTACCCTGACCAACGCGCACGTGCTGTGTGGGAAACGCAGCTTCCCTGTGCTTTCTGAAAGTACACTTGTCACAAACCTGCAAAAAGACGAGAACAACAAACAAGCGCCCTCATGCGGCGCCTGAGTGAGCACACCAGTGATGGGGAATCGGCGCCGTTATTTCAGGCGCTTGGGCGTAAAGTGGCATAGGACGCGTATGTCAGTCCCATGCCGCTGCCTGCCCCTGTTCATGGCACCTGCATGCGATGGGAGGTGCCTTCACTGCAACACACATCATCAACACGGATGGTGCGGCCATCAAGCCACACCAAACCAGGCAAAAATCAACACTCCCGAACACAGGAAAAAGTGGGGTCGCGTGCTGCTGCGCCCCTCGCGGGGGGCAGTGAGGCACAGTCAAGCATTGGCTCTGCCACGCCCAGGTGGTGGGGCAGGCGCAGTGTTGTGCGGAGAGCACTAGGCGTTGCAGATGCTCAGGGTACTTGAAAACAAGGCCAGGCCAGCAGAGCCTTGGCTGCATGGAGGTGTTTGGCCACAAGGCCGCCGTTTCAAATGCTCGAGGATCCTAAAGTGTTTGGCAGCGCGGGTGATGCTGCAGATGTGTGGGCCACAGGGCCACCTTGGGGATGGGAAACTCCTAGGCAAGCAAACCCTGAACCTCGTTCCTTGCGTGCACGCGAAAGGACACCCCTTGGGCCGTGAGGTGGCCCAGAACCATGCCAGCGCTGCGCAGCGCCTGCCTGATCCGGCGCGCTGTTTGTGCAGGCGTGCCTCTCTCTTCGCCAGTGAGCGTGGGCTAGCAAGGGCGCATGGTTTGGCGCACTGGCCTTGCCGCCGCGGTGTCGTTCAAAGGATATGCGCTGCGCACCAAATCGAACGGTTGACACGCTGTCCTGCTGATACATAGCCGGACGCGTTGCGTGCGAGCAACGGCGTGGGGCGGCCAGCCATGAAGGGGAGGCGTGTGACAAGAAGCAGCCGACACGCGTGCCGCGCGGCAGCTCCAGCCAACCGCGCCTCAGTCG